ATACAATTGAAGTAGTAGAAATGAAAAATATAGAAGACAAAGACATACCAGAGGTTGAGAATAAAAACGAAAATGCAATTAATGAAGTAGAAATACAAAATATAGAAGGTGTATCCAATATCGTTAATGATATTTTAATTTTTGACAATTTGGACATTTCGTTATGGCCTTTAAATTTAACAACAGACATGCAAAGTTATTTGCTTAAAAATAAACCATCGTCAAATATTTCTCTTGTACATACCGCTAAAAAAGTAGTGACGGAAGGTGGAAAAACTGTAACTCGGACATTAAAGAAAAATATTTTTACTCGTAACAAGGCAAATGGTGAAAAAATTGAGCGAGAATGGTTAGTATATAGCCCAAGAAGTAAAGCAATTTACTGTTATTTTTGCAAGATGTTTGCGATCAGAAGAACTGCTTTTACAGAAGGTTATTCGGACTGGAAAAATGCAAATGTAAGAGTAAAAGAACATGAACGTTCTACTGATCATAGGCATTCTATTGAAATTTTGATAGCAAGAAATTCAGTTGAGGGACGTGTAGATACTATAGTTGAAAAAAGTATTTAGAAAAAACAACACTGGAGAAAAGTACTGCTGCGGGTAGTAGCAACAATAAAATTTTTAGCTAAAAATTCTCTTGCATTTCGTGGCTCTAATGAACTCTTTTCTGAATGTCAAAGCGGGTAGTAGCAACAATAAAATTTTTAGCTAAAAATTCTCTTGCATTTCGTGGCTCTAATGAACTCTTTTCTGAGTGTCAAAGCGGGAATTACATTGAAGCTCTAGAGTATTTGGCAGAATTTGATGAGTTTTTAGCATCGCATATAAAACAATATGGATCAGCTGGAAAAGGAAACGTAAATTATCTTTCTTCAACTATTTGTGATGAATTTATTCAAATATTTAACAAGAAAAATGTTAGAAACATTTGTGTCAGAAGTTAAAGCTGCGAAATATTTTTCCATAATAATTGACTCTACTCCTGATATAACACACGTAGACCAATTAACTTTTATATTGCGCTATTTATCAGAAGATGGAACCCCAATCGAGAGATTTTTTGGATTTATTCCCATTAATTTCACTCGGGGGAATCATTAGAAAATGAACTTTTACAGAATATTGCAAAATTAGGACTGGATATTAGCAATTGTAAAGGACAAAGCTACGATAATGCAGCAAATATGTCTGGCAAATACAATGGGCTCCAAAACCGCATTAAAAGACATAGTGAAACAGCCCATTACGTTCCTTGTGCCTCGCATTCATTAAATCTAGTAATAAATAGTGCTAGTGAATCATGCTTGCAGGAAATAAAATATTTTAATTTAATGGAAATCATTTATACCTTTTTTCGGCTTCTACGTATAGGTGGAACATTTTAGAAAAAAGTTTTGCCGCAAATAATAAACATTTTACAGTAAAAAAGTTATGTACTACGAGATGGTCTTGTAGAGCTGATGCAGTTAAGGCAATTCGCTTTGGGTTTGACCAAATAAAAAGTGCTCTTCTTGAAATATCTTTAGACGAATCTCAGAAATGTTCTGTTAAAGAAGAATCACGAAAAATAGCAAACAAAATGAATACTTTAGAATTCATTTTGTTAACAGTTATTTGGGATAAAATTCTTTCCAGAATAAATGCAAGCAGTCAATCCTTACAAAATCCTACTTTGCCACTCTCGTTTGCAGTAAATATTTTTGACAATTTATATGATTACGTTAATAGTTTAAGAAGTTCATTTCTGGAAATAGAAGCAGAGGCATTAAGCACGTCAGAAATAAAAGTGTATTGTGATTTTAAAAAAAGGTCCCAAAAAAGAAAACGTTTCTTTGATGATGCTTATAATGATGAGGAAAATCTAAGTTTTTGTCAGGGCCAAGAAATGTTTAAGCGAAATTGTTTCTACGTAATTTGTGATAAAATCTCTTTTGAATTAAAAGTTAGAAGCAAAAGTTACAAAGATATTGATGAAATTTTTAAAATTTTTCATACAAACATAGCTGACGGCGACGACGAAGACATATCAATTAATACCGCATTGTTAAAAAAATGGTACAGTGGCGACATTGATACCGAAGAATTGGACGAGGAATTGTTGCAATTTAAGTTAATTTGTAAAAGCCAAAATTTAACGTTGCCATCTGATATGCTGCAATTTATAAAGAGCACAAAAATAGTATCAACATTTCCAAATACAGAAATATTATTGCGAATATATTTAACTTTGCCTATATCGAATGCATCTGGTGAAAGATCATTCTCAGTATTAAAACGTGTAAAAAATTATTTACGAAACTCACTGAGTGAATCAAAATTAAATTCTTTAGCTGTTTTATACATCGAACAAAATGCTTTGGATAATATTAATTATGATGAAATAATTGATAATTTTGCTGAATTAAAGACTAGAAAACAGAATTTTTAAATAAAGTTTATTTATACAGTACTTAATTTTTTAAACTATCTTGGCTTTTATTTAAATTATCCTTTTTATTAGTCAATTTATCTCTCATGAGTAAAATATTTATTTAAATATCAAACAAAAACGTTAAATTAAACAATTGATATTTTAAGGTAATATTGTTATTGTATAACAACTTTTGTTAGACATTTAATAAAATAAATTTCAATTTTTTTTAATTTATAAACAAACTGTTCAAACTTTTCTAGAAAAACTAAAATTAAGATTTGTTTTAGTTTTCCACATTACAGTATTTAGTTTTGTTTTAAATTTTTTGTGCGCTTTATTTATTGTGGGAGAGGGAGGGGGCCCGGTAAGAAGAAAATGTCTAGGGCCTCAAAGTGGGTTAATCCGGCCCTGAGTCGACCCCCCTATAACATCGTAGATATGATACGTTCCGCTTTTTATGAAATCCATTTTCTACGAGTCCTTAAATACATGAGCCAATCACAGCCCGACAAGTGTGCAGTTTACGGACTACGGCTGTTTGAAAGGTTTTCTTCCATAAAATTAATCGATTGTAGACTAATTCGACTCAACATTTCCAAAACACGTATATTTTTTTGGGAATAATCAATATAAATACGCTATAAACAAAAAACTTGTAGGATTACTTACCGAGTGTGCACCGTTCGACGATGTCATTGCTTAAACTTGTTTTCGTCGTGGAGCGGCGCATGTTTCCTGATAAATTATTTTTCTGCGAAAAATTTGCTGAACTTTGGAGATATCATTAGTACAAATATAATTTTTATGGTCGTTAAATAATAAATGGTTTTTAGTAGGTACGTTGCTCGTTTAAACTCAACGGTTTGTGCAATATCCGCTATTGGTCTATGTAGATTCGACCAATCCTGTCGCGACACGAGTCGGCAATGACGTTTTATCGTATTTTACGAGTTTCTTTTAGCGTGTTTACACGAATACGGTCGCAACTTTTTCGCCGCTATATACGAATCCGCGTTATATGAACCCGTTCTATAGGTGGGTCTACTGTAATTGATGGTGGTAGTCGTCTTAACTTTTGTCCTCAGCGTATGAACCTCGCTGCACTAGTGCTACATCGACGAACTTAAGGTGAAAATAGCTTAGGGTACTGTACGTCCTACATGGCAGCGACCGCAGGCTTGAACGAGCTTCCAAACGGAGTGGACATACCAGTTCACGCAAATGTGCGTGTTCGAAGTAACAGTGTTTAGCCTGTAGTGATCGCCAGATGATGCTTCTTCACCAGATGATGCTTCTGCAGGAAGCAGCTACCAAGCCGATTTGATCATCGCTTCCACTGTTCGCGTTTCCAACGAAGAAAATGGCTGATTTTGAAGATGAATGTAAACAGAATGATAAATAAATTGTTTATATATGTTGTATGTACTTTAATTAATAATCTTTTACGTAATTTAATAATATCTGATTTTGTTAAAAATATATTTTTTTAAACTTATTATTCTATAAAGATTCTTTATATTTGTTGTGTATCTAGTTAGTGATAACAATTAACTGTCAAATTTATCGTTTTAATGCTTGTCATATTTTCCATAGTAGCATTCGACGAAGTCTTCTCGAATCCATCTTCTAAACAATACGTGTCCACTCTGGACAGAAGTCGCTCGCGAGTTGTTGTTGTTTTTTGTTTTTTTTTACTCTTTCCGCCCTGTGGGCCTCTTATAGCAAGCGCATTATGGGTTCGGCTAGGCCCACAATCGAGAACCGGGTGGTGAGGGACGGGGCCCGATATAACCGGATGGACCACCCCCTGAAAAATTCCTGACGATTTTTTGGTGGTGGAGTCGATCCCGGGTCCCCCAGAGCGGCAGGCTGCCAACCTTGACCGCTCAGCAATCCGACCCCATTCATACAGAACTGGAAAATAGAGACTCGAAAAATTTTTCTACAGATTTTCTTAGAAAAAGTTTGGTAACGATAACCGAAATGCGTAGCAAATGGTCCAGATTTTGGAAGGAGTGCAAAAGCAAAAGGCGTTTTGGATGCGATCTTCTACTACTGATATTTGCTTAAGGAAAGAAAAAAAACGACAAATGACACTAGACGACTTCGTTGCAAAAAAATCAAGGTCTGTAGTACTATTCTAGCATTAAAAAAAGTTCTGGAGTGGTGTTCCAGATAGCTCTAGTACAACTGTACCTGTAAGCCAATAATTCAAACTTAAAATATGTGTATGTATTAACACTAATGTTATTTTGGAAAAATGGGTACGTTGACTAAGTTGTAGGAGAATGAGGTACAGAGTTTTATCCTAATAAAGAAATAATGAAAAAATTTATCCATTTATAAGACAAATTTATGAAAGGTTTTCAGGAATTGGGGTATGCTCATAAATTAAAGTTCTACTGTATTGTGTTTTTATTGTCTCATACGAAATATTTAATGATTTAAATACTTTCATTAGTAGTATTTTCAAATATTATCAATTAAATTTATTTTTTAATAATAATCAGTTTCAATTAAAATAATTTTACAATTCTCGTATTAGTACATGAAGTAAAAGTGACTCAAAATACTTCTTACAGAACTGTGGAAAGGAATTAGTTATAGACGACATTCAGAGCATATTAAATAACAATGAAGAAGAATTGAGAAACTTATTGAATTCTTCGCTTGAAGAATTCGTTAGAAAGAATTATAATAAGGTGAGATTTTGTCCCGGCCCTGACTGTAAAATGATTTACAGCATTCCAAACTCTGAAAAAGATTCATTATGGACCTGTCCACTATGTGCTGTTGTCATCTGTTCTCTGTAAGTATTTTCCAATTTAAATTTAGTTCAGAAAATATTTTCTGATGTTAATAGATAATTTTTATAATAGATGTGGATATAAAGTGCATCCAGGTATGTCATGCGAAATGGCTAAAGAAATGAGGAAAGACATAGATTATTCCTTAAAGGTGAGTCAAAATATAAAAATATAAAAAAATAAATACAGTTAATACATGTAATAGATCTCAATATGAAAAGTTGTAATTTCCAATCATGGTTAGGAGAAAGGATTATCAAATCTTTTTAAATGAGAAATAATTGCCTATTATCAGTAAAAATTCTCATTAGAAAAAACTGATATGTAACATGCAAAACAAAACCAAATTTATAGAATAAACTGGACAATTGTAATGATAGTGGAACTAAATAAGGTATAGAAAATAAACAAATTTGTTTGTGGATGAAAATGGCAAATAGCATTACTACTATTATAACAAATTTTCAGAATTAAAAGATACAACTCAATGTTATTCTCCAAAATAAAGAATATCAGCAGGTGTAATATTAAGATTTAAAAGTGGTATAGTTATCTGCACTTTTGCACTCATGCATAAATTTTATAAAAAGAAAAAATTATGATATTTATCTTTAGAAAAACTTTTATCACATGCTTACATAATCATCTCAATATATCTTAGACAAGAGTTATAACAGGTAAAAGATTTTGAATTCTAGATTTCTCATTAGTCATTAATGCCTTGACTAGAAAAGCTGATAAAGCAGATTCAATAGTAACCCTTTATCAGTGAAACAAATCATTAAATTTTCTTCAGTTTCATTTACTTATCAAGTTTTTAGTTTTACCACCTTAAGATTGTTAAAAATCATATTTCATTAGTTTTATTATAGCTAGTCTGTATTTTAGAATGTTAAGAATAATTTGGTTTACTTATATATTAATTTATATTCATATTTTCTATTTGTTTCAGGTATGGTTGGCACAAGATCCTAAAAACAGAAAAGTTTGTCCCTCTCATTCTTGTCACTCTCCAATCCAAAAAGATGGTGGCTGCAATCATATGGTTTGTTGGAAGTGTCATTGTCACTTATGTTGGCTTTGTTTACAGATTTTTCCAGATGGAAATTCTGTTTATAATCATTTGCCTTATTGTGCTTGTAACCAAAGTCCATTTGCTTAACTGCCTTAGAAGACTTTTATTGTGACAAATGTGTAATTTATTTTAATTATGAAACTTATAATCTTTTAAGTGAAGTTATTTGTTTTTATAAATTTTTTCTGGAATTTTTATAATTGGATAGTTTTATATATTATAATGTTCTTTAATTATCTCTTTTTGTTAAGTAAATGTTTATGCAAATAAAAAGAAGTAAAATAGTTGCGATACCAATGTTTTATTTGAATTTATATTGAGCTCTCTATCAGAGAAACACTCAAAATAATCATCACAAATTCAATTATCACATGCAGGTAATTTTTCTTTTTCTTAATTGGATTGGATTCTCTCAATCAGGACTTCAGAAAGTCAGAATTTGCTAAGGGCTTGGCAAATTTTACAACTTGGACTTCTTTTTTTATACAAAAGTTATTATTTTTCCAGTTATAAATAAAGATTACAAATAAATTATGCAAAAATAATTTGAAGCTATCTGAAACCTAAAACAGATATAGGCCTATATTAAATTTAAATTGACTTTTATAATAATAAGTCAATTTCTAATAATAATAATAAGTTTCTAAACAAAGTGATTTATATTAAGAAAAATATGTTTTCCTCATTGGCACAATATGTTATAGATAATAAATATCAGTTTCGTGCAGATAAGCCGCACCTTCAGAGCTATGATTGAAAGCCTAATTCTTATTGGTATGCAATGAGTCACAAAAAATTTTTTATGTATCTAATATTGCATTAAATTAAAATAGCAACATAAATTCAAAGTGTACATTTAATTTTATAGATTGAAGAGAACACGATGACATTCTCCTGTTACAACAAAACAGGTTTAATGGAGACAATTTGGAAAATAAAGTTATTAATATTGAAGGAGAATCAAAAACGTTTTGGATTTGTCCGACAATAGATTGTTAAGACAGATTCTTTAATTAGATGTTTTATAAATTACGAACTCGTACATTTTAATATAAAAGTCGGAATTCGTTAAATCTCTATAGGAAGCTCGTTCAAACGAATTATTAAACAATTTTAAACTATTATTAACTCCGCTTTTTGCCCTTATATTATTTATCACATTCAATTTTATATAAACAATTGTTAAACAGGGCTTATCATACACAACCAAAACAAGCAACCAAATATTTAAACCATCATTACCTAAATTAGTTAATTATATGCAGTGGCGTACCGTAGTGGGGGCGGAAAAATTTCACAATAAATAATAATAATATCTTGTAAAAATTTGGAACATCCGAATCTATATTTGCATCGCGCCTACGATAATGCTATCGTCCGGACAGTCCGGGAATCGGCTCGCCGCCGGGTGAACTAGTAATTTTGTCATCCGAGGAAATCCTGCGAAACCTGTTGACTTTTTTCTTTTATTTTTGCTTGTACGATTCATTCGCGTTCATATACACCACTAATATCCAATAGGAATATTTTAAACAGGTCGCTGCACTACCACCGAATTTTTTATTGCTTGTTCTGCGACAAAACTGAATTTTGGTCTTTTAAATTGAAATACCTAAATAAGGGGGCCGAAATTTTCCTCCGCCCCGGGCGGCTGACACCCACGATACGCCACTGATTATATGGTAATTTTCAATTATAGAATTTTACTGTAAACAAATTTAAATAAATGGTTGCTTGTGTATAAGTTCTAATATCTTGTTTACACCTTTATTTATGTAAAAATGAATGCGATTAATAATTTTAAAAATTGTTTTAACTGTTCAGAACCGAAGAAATGTAGTTTTGTAACTGTTATTACGGGAAGTGAAAACATACGAATATATTGTTCTTATAGTAGAATACAGTATACAATCTGTCTGAACTTTGGTTAGTTTCTTAATTAAATATAGCATTAATCATCAGCTGATAACGAGAACAAACGTTTCTAAAATTCCACATTTATATTATTTACAATGTGTTTTTATCTGCGTTTGTTATATCGAGGCAATAATATTTCACAAATTAACAGTGAAATTTGTTTTAAAACCAGACATTATTTAACCTTAATATCTTATTTTCTCAATTTGCATCATGTATTCCCAACCTCGAAAAACATAACCAATTTTAATGTATTTTTTTAAAAAATACATTAAAATTGTTTTTTGTAGAATAGAACAAATTTAAATATAGGCTTAAATGTCTTAAGTAAATACTAAAGTGTTTATTCGAAACAGAATTAGGCCTACGACTCGTACAAACTGATCTCTTATCAAATGAATTCCTTGGAAGTGTTTTATTTAGAGAATTATTGTTGGTCGGTCGAATTATTCGTTTTAACGGTTCAACATAATAATAATAATATTATTATACAACATATACACCTTACTGCTGAGAATCATTTTTACTACTTTAACTAACGTTTTCAACCTGGTTATCAGTTTTCTGGAACGTTTACAATCGCTCTATAATCGAACCAATATATCCAATAACAAATTCGAATTTAAAACGGTTCGAACATTTGGTTAAAAATCAAAATATAAATAATATAACTAATCCATTAATTAAATACATAAACTGAGCGAATCAAAATAAATAGAGTAGAACAAAATAAAATAAAATACAAATATAATAACATAAGATATAAAATCACTTCGACCTCGCGCTATGCATTAGATTTTACTAGCCATTATTGATCATATATTTCCATGCCTGTGGCATCCTTGTAGTTTAATTAAACATTTGCCAGTCAGGTTGGATTTATAAATTTCGAACTTTTCCAAACTTAATGCCAGAGTCGGTGAACAATTCTGGCCTCAGCTCATTTAACTACCGAACCATCTGTTTGCGCCACTCTGGAGCGCTGTAGAATAGTGTCCCTTACGTCGTACAGTACATGTGCTCCTTAAGCCTTTTGTTGAGGTTTCTGGTGGTGACACCCACATACTCTTTGTTCAAACCTAATTGATCGTTTTTATATGGTATCTTGTATACTCCAGATTGTTGTTCCTTCTTGATCATATCCTTGTCATTCCTAAGCAAGCTATAAACCGTAGGAGACCTTTTGTACAGTAAATATTTTGTTCTTGTAATCTTCAATTTCTTTCATAATATTTGACATGTTTCTGTTGTATGTGAACTTAGTCACCTTGTTGTTCATATCTTTCTTCGTTTTCTTTTTGCTAGGATCAGTGTAAGAACTTATAATCCTTCAATGACTTTTGCTCCAAACCCCAACATCCTAGAAACAGTTCTAATCCTATCCAACTCTTGCAGCTTGTCGTATACGTTGGAGCAATAATGGAATGCCCTTCTAATTAGAGCTCTAAACTCTGAAAGCTTATAGGTATGTGGATCATTGGAGGTTGAAGGGATGTATAATGAGTCGTGAGTGGGATTGATGTATATGTTGTATAAAGTCTGAGTATATGTTGAAGTGTAAAATAAATAATAATAATACGTCTCTGACCCTTTTATTATACTCATTTCGTGTCTCTAAAATACTACGGATTGCTTGAAATATCCCTGTAAAAATGCGAAGAAAAAAACTAAATATTTGCATCTTGTTAAAACTACATATGCTTGAAAAAACTGAAAAAAGAATTTAAGCAATTAAACATCAAATATATTCAAGTTTAATGTTTAGAACATTTTCACGAGTGATTTTCTACTTGAAATGTATTCAGCACATATGCAAAAAGTGTGTGTTATCCGTACAATGTCATCAGGTTTTCTAATCGTCTAGTTTGAAATCGAAAGAATTTCGAGTATTAATCTAATTTTGCCTCAATTAAAGGAGTTGTCGGACCCATCAGTTGCCAGATAATCATTGTTGTACTGTATGGAACTATAATGAATCGAATTATCAAATGATTCCATTCTTGTACAGTACATTGCAAGAAAATCGAATCTTTTTTTCTGTTATATAAAATATTTTTATTTGAAATTCACTGTACTGTACATTTATAAGTTATGTACAAATAATTGTTTTCAAATTTGTCTGGCTTTTTCTCCATCTGGTATTAATAACTATATTAATCACAAAATATGCACATTATAAATGTCGATTCTTATGAATTTAAATTCGATGATAGTCACAAAGTCCATACAAAGGATTCCGAGAATCGACTGAACTCTGAAGAAATTTAGGAGTAAGTTAGCATTTCCAGTACTTACAAATGGAAAAAATCACAAGTCTGAGGAGAATTATAAAGTTTAAAATTAGGACAGTTATAAAACTATGACATAAAAAGCAAGAAACTCCTGCAAACACGATAAATCACAAATCCTCTACGAGAAACTATAAAACAGAATATATTCTTTACGATGGAGGAACTCATTAGAATGAGAATCGTATCTAAATTGCAAATCTTCGAATCTAAATGCCTCCATTGCAAATAATATACAGTATTGTACAGTACAAAGAAACTGCAAGTTCAAAATGAAAAATATCTTACAATAATACATTTGCAGCAGAGTAAAAGCCATAACAAGAATATTGACGTTATATTTCGGTGTGGATGCCATTCTTACTGTTACATAAATACTAGCAAAAGTCGAGGACTAATCGTAATTCAAGGCTAAATCACAAATCAAGCATTTGTCTGGATAATAAAAGCATATATTTGGATCGGGCAAATCCGCAAATAGAAATGTAGAACAACGACAAGAAAGACAAGTTTGAACCGAACGAGTTTATTCCGTTTACGAAAAAAGCTGTTACGCATCTACGGGGAGCACTGAGGACGGTAAAACTAGTAATTCAAATCTTTACTGTTAATGAATAAAAATAGAGCGAAACTACTTTTTTCACTTCAAATATTCGAATTAATCGAGGTCGATAACGGGTATCGGTCTGTGGGAAAGAAGGGTGCTCCACCCAAACCTATCGAACAAGACGACCTTCGTCATCTGTCGATCACCAAGGTCGACTACACCGGTATCCGACTTCGGTTACTGCATCACAAAAGTATAAAAGGTGAAACAACGATCCCTTGATCCATCACAAAGCAGAAATATGTTCCGAGTAAGTATCCAAGTGTCAAGATTACAGACGAGATCATTCGGGTGTTTAAAATTAATTTTATTTTGGTTTTAGGTCGCTTGCTTCGTCGTTCTCGTAGCCGTTGCCTCCGCTGGCATCATCGCCGGTGGTCCCCACATCGGAGGACACAGCGTCAGCTCCCGAAGACAAGACGTAAGTACTGTACATTCTAATCCTCCCGTCAGCATTCAACGGGAAACGTCAACTTAATATGTTGTTTATCGACAGGACTTCGGTAACTACGCTTTCAACTATCAAATCGTCAATGGAGTCGGTGCCACCAACGGACGTAGCGAAGTGGGCGACGGCTGGGGCAACAAGAGAGGATCTTACGTCATCGGTGACATCGACGGACGTGCCAGAAGAGTCGAGTACGTCGCCGACGGATTGGGCTTTCGCGCCGTGGTCAAGACTAACGAACCTGGCACCGCCTTGAGCGCTCCAGCAGCAGCCGCCGTCGCCTCCCCCTACACCGGACCCATCTCCGGAAGTCCCGCTGTCGTGGCTCACGCACCCGTTGCAGTTGCCGCTGCCCCCGTCGCAGTTGCCGCCGCCCCTTTCCACGCAGGAGTAGTAGGAGCTCACGCTGGTTTGGGCTACAAAGGACTCATCCACGGTTAAACGAAATCCGCAGCCATCTTTCTTTCTAAGTCTTTCCATGCCTCTGCTTTTGGATTCGTCGGTGTTGCGACTGGCTCTTGCCTTTCTTCACCCTTTTCTTCTATGTTAATGTATTTATGTATTATAGGAGCAGGAAGCATTATGTACAGCGAACGCGAGAATACAAATATATAATAAAATTTGTTTTTGCTATTTATTTGGTTTCTCGAACATTTTCCTGATTTATTCCTACGCGAACCATTTCCAACTTGACGATTTGTAAAATCAATACTAACAATAATAATTGTTTATTTTATTTAACAGAGAAAAATTTTTATCCTAAAACTCCGAAATACTAAATTATGAATCGACTGACTAAAGATTCACCATAAATCTCAATTTTATATTGATATTCCTAAGTGATATCGGGTTTTCGGAAAATATTAAAAGAATATCGACATTAAAAACAGTAAAGGAAGACTACTAATTAGCATTGCGTTAATATTTTAATTTTAAGAACATTGTTGAAAACAGAAATGAATAGTCATTAAAAATCAATATTTAAATCAAAATTTTTAATTGGTGCCGAATCTATTTTTTTTTTTTTTTAATCTTAGAACAGCCCGAACTTTACAGTTTAAATTGCATTAGTCATTTGTAATAAACTGAACTGAACTGAGAACAAAATACCTTTGTTCAAAGAGGAACTCGTGATTTCACTTCCTTTAATCGTTTCTAATGGAATAATTTTTCCATTAATCAAAATTACGTACTGCAATGAACTGTATGAATCTTAATTTATTAGCTAGAAATTAGCCAATGATTAAATTACGATAATTAATTAGACAATTTCATCAAAAATTAATTATTGCATGTAATTTACAATTTTTGTTATTTCATTCTCGATTTTCGACGGAATCGCCATCTGAAATCCGATCATAAGGTTAATGAAAATAATTTATGCATGTTGCTAATCAGTTTTATACAATAAAATATGTCTACCATCCAAATATAGATTTTCTACTAAAAATAAAAAAGTACTGAACATTCTCCGTTACGCGCAGAATCGAGATCAATATTCTCTGTATAATGATCTTCATTGTATAAAATGAGCATCTTGAGGTTATAAAAGATACGTATAACTATGGAGTCTGTAGGGAGGAAACCGAACGACATAATTACTCCTCCTGATATTTGCCTTACTGTTTCATGTTTATTCGCTATTATTAATTGAAGAGGAATTTTATAAAGGTGTTTTGTAAGAATAAATTTATTTTAATAGGCGTGACACGTCGTAAGTGGCACATTATAAATTCGTGGGGACCAGGCAAATTTGAATTAGGGGAATCCATGTACTGTACAGTGTTGACTTCAAACATCCGATTCCCAGATATGGCCCAAATTTAAATTTCAATATTCTAAGTTCAATAATGAGTTTATAAAAGATTGATTTGGTGCCCCAGGCAATTCTCCTTTTTGCCCATAGGATAACACGCCACTGCGTAAGGAGTGCATCAGGACATGCCCTTCGCCTACTCTGAATACACTTATGTACCGAAGTAATTGTAATCGACGTGCAACAAAATGGTGTCCTCTAATTCGTTAAGCCATAAGTAGGTGCTGTACTATCCGGAAGATCACGTTTTATAGAATAATTAAAGTTTTCTCTTATTTTTACACGTATCTGTTATTCACCGGCACGAAAATAAGTGGAAGCAAATCTGTTTAATATCTTTCATTGTTCTTTAAGCATTATACAAAAACAATTTATTCAGTTTCCGGCACTGAAAAAAATTAATAATTGTAGATTAACATGCTTTATTCAACGAAACTAGAGTAAAATGGCGATAATTTGAAATCAGCAATAGTGCTTACAAACTGTTCTAGATGTTGTCATACGTTTTAAAATAATTTATAAAGAAAATAATAAAAATTTAATCCGGTAAGATTAAAAGGGTCGATTATCCGAGGAGATTAAACATAGTAATATAGTTAGAAGGCGAAGGACGATCGGATGACGTAAGACACTAGCACATGACGTAACGATAATAGGAAGAGCTAGTGAAGTAGGAGAAAATAACTTGAACAGACTTACAAGAGAATAAACTATGCATATAAATGTGAAGAGTCACACGACATTTAGTTATAACAGTAAGAAAATTAACAAAATATATTTTTAATTAAATAATGAATTTTTTAGGTGAATATTATTTATCTTCGGTAGTATTCAATTCTATCGGAGACAGCCAAGTTAATTATAAGAAAATCACTTGTAAATATAATTTGTCTAGTATTTAATGTTAAAAAATATCGGTAAAATATTAAAAACCAACGAAAATTATAAATTGATTTGGGTTACTTAACCCACCGTCGTGCGAATCGATAGATTTTTAAAATTATATTTTTATGTTGTTTTTGAAACCGTGTTTGATAAATACATTGGACTTCGAACTCAAATGTAAGTTTTAAATAAACACTTGGCTTTATTTCCATCTCCTTTTAGTTGAGGATGGAGGTCATATTATACAAACGGCGACCTCCATCCTCAACTAAAAAGAGATGGAAATAAAGCCAAGTGTTTATTTAAAACTCACATTTGAGTTCGAAGTCCATTATATTTTTTGTTTCAATTTTCAATTTTAACGTAATTTCTTAATTTCTCAATTTTTTTTCTGTGCGAAAAGCCAATGTTTTTAGTTTTCGATCAGTAAAAATAACCGAGAACAACTTTTTAACCGGAAATTTTGGAATTAATCGAGGTCGATTCAGGTTATCAGACGATTCGGAGTCTGTGGGAAAGAAGGACGTGCCCCACCCAAAAAAGGTATCGAACAAGACGACCTTCGTCGAGCGTAAATCACCAAGGTCATCAACATCGACAGCCCAGCGACCGCTACCGGTTGACGGTGTCCCATATCGATATCTACGTCAGATCTGTCGATTAGGGTATAAAAGGGCAGCGATAGTCGGCTGGGGTATCAGAAAGTAGAAACATGTTCCGAGTAAGTAATTGGAAAATCAGCCAAGCTGCCGAATCCCTTCAGTGCCTAATTTTTATCTCTGCTTAATTTCAGGTCGCTTGCTTAGCCGTTCTTTTGGCCGTTGCCTCCGCTGGCATCATTGCCGGTGGTCCCCACCTCGGAGGACACAGCGTCAGCTCCCGAAGACAAGACGTAAGTACTTTTTATCCTCTTTCTAAAGCCATTTCCACAGAAAACCGTATTAACACCGACTCTATTTATCGACAGGACTTCGGTAACTACGCCTTCAACTACCAAATTGTCAATGGAGTCGGTGCAACCAACGGACGCGCCGAAGTAGGCGACGGCTGGGGCAACAAGAGAGGATCCTACAACATCGGTGACATCGACGGACGTGCCAGAAGAGTCGAGTACGTCGCCGACGGATTGGGCTTCCGCGCCGTGGTCAAGACTAACGAACCTGGCACCGCCTTGAGCGCTCCAGCAGCAGCCGCCGTCGCCTCCCCCTACACCGGACCCATCTCCGGAAGTCCCGCTGTCGTGGCTCACGCACCCGTTGCAGTTGCCGCTGCCCCCGTCGCAGTTGCCGCCGCTCCCTTCCACGCAGGAGTAGTAGGAGCTCACGCTGGTTTGGGCTACAAAGGATTCCTCCACGGTTAAACGAAATCCGCAGCCATATTTCTTTCTAAGTCTTTCCACGCCTCTGCTTTTGGATTCGTCGGTGTTGCGACTGGCTCTTGCCTTTCTTCATCCCTTTCTTCTATGTTAATGTATTTATGTATTATACGAACACGAAGCATTATGTACAGCGGACGCGAGAATACAAATTTATAATAAATGTTTTTTGTTATTACTTTTACTTGTCTTTTGCTTTGGCATTTTTGGTATTTAAATACAATTTATTTTAACCAGAAAGGGTTTTCTTAACCATTCGCGTTTTAAAAGACTTCGTTAAATGTGTTCTAAATATTCCTTCGAGGATGACATCGAATTATCCTCTAATACTTTAGATGATGTTGGACAATCGAAATTTATTGCTTTAAATAGATGCGTGACACAGACAACTCTCGGTGTCTACGTGCAGTGAAAACCTCTATTTATTTTACTTACGCTTGAAGTTCGCAATAATTATTGACAATGTTAAAAGTTTAGCAAAAAACTAGAGATGCAAATGTAAAATTTTATACGTAACGTTACAAAATAAAATTGATACCAATAATTGCATTTCAAATTTAAAAATTCCAAAAAAATTAAGTTATACTTTTATTTTTATAAAGAATTTATTGAGAATTTCTTTTTTATTTCAACAATATTTTAATAGTGAAAATTTATTCTTCTAACGAAATTTCTAGTGTATAAAAATATCAACTTGAAATTGTGTCAAGTTCAAGATTCGAACTTATTGGCGTTATCTAGATGGGGAATATTTCTGTAATATATTTATAATTTAAAATGTTTAATCTAATTTTTGCCCATTTTAATTTCGTGTGATTTAGAGGTCGAATTGTAGATATAATAACAAAATTTCGATAGAAATTCTGTGATTTTTATCTACAATGACATCGATTCGTCTTCTTCATTAAGCATATCGTTCCTTACCGAAGAAAAAATTAATAAAACTTTTGTTAATTTTATTTATTTTTGTTATAAACTGACATTAATATCTTTAAAAATAGTTTTAAAGGCAGTTTTTAATCATGAAAATTCCACTACTTTATAAAATATATATTTATAAAGTAACTTTATACTTATTTTATATGTAATACTTATAAATTTAGGATTTATATATTCAATACAAATGCGTATTTATGTATACAATTGCAAGTTTACTTAAAAAATTACATGCATTTGTCTTATTTCTTTGACTTATAATGACGTGTTTTGCATATTTGTGTATATTTTCGTATTGTCTGCATTTTGCTGACGAGGAAAGTTTTGAAAATTAATAATAGTTTCCTGTTTGTCTCGGTAGGAAATTGCTCAGTGAGACACCGAACGTTTTCGTGTCTCGAGACATTCTCAATACGCTCATTTTATTATACAAATAATCCGAAACTAAACAATCAGAGACGAAATTTATTGTTAAAAAATATTCAAAAGTGCAGTTTAAAATACGAATTCTAATTTTTCGGCCTAAAATCATGAAATTTTCTAACAGTGATGCACCTAACAATGATACTACAAGATCATTTAGTGAACAAAAAAGCAATATACTTGTATGATTTGAGAAAGTTCTATTCGCGGCTGTGAAACGTCCGCATTCGGTCTTTCCCACATTGCATCCTTGTTACGCAGCGATGCACGCGCGGTCACCCTCTACATACAGTATATAAGCCATTGTCGCGTCTGTAACGGTATCCATTGCCTAAAACGCCCACTAGGGGCGCCCAAGCGATGATTTTAAATTAACAATAAATTATTTTTATTTGTAATAGATTTATTTATTATTGATATGAATTTATTATTTATACCACGGAGTGATATAAATAATTATTATATGCCTTGCCTTGCCTTATTATATGCCTTGATTAACCTTGCGCCGCACGTTTACAACATCCCGTGACTCAGTGAACGTCGCGTATTGACTCACGGGAAATTTGATGAAAAAATGGCGGATACATTTAAAATCGAGGCTTACATGCGAAGGTAAATAAACAAATTAAATTATTTTAAAGTATTTATAGAATGTTTAATAGGTAGAAATCTAGATTGGGATTTTAACAGAGCTGTAGAGCATATTGATAAGAACAAAAAAGTCAGAGGAACCGTGCCTCATGGGAATTTGCAAAGAACGCCCAATAGGGAGCGTCCCTGACTACTAGTTATTTTATATGCCTTTCCGTGGTTCATTTGGTATTTCAAAATGGTAGAAAAGCTACCATTTTTAAATATCAAAGAAAAGCTAAAATTAAACATTTCTTATGGATACAATTTCTGTAATTACTCAGGATACATTTCTTTATAATATAAAAAATAGTAAGTGTAAAATTGATAGAAATAACATAAAAATAATTCACTTAGAAAAAGATATGTATAAACGTAAATTTAAAGAACATATAGAGATTATAAAATGTAAANAGAAGTAGAACTTTAGAATTAAGAATTAAAGAACATGAAGCAGCAATTAGACTAAAACATAATAATTCTCCATGGTTTGACCATATAAAAAATAGTAAGTGTAAAATTGATAGAAATAACATAAAAATAATTCACTTAGAAAAAGATATGTATAAACGTAAATTTAAAGAACATATAGAGATTATAAAATGTAAAGATGATTTAATAAACATTTCAAATGGTATGCAAATAGATCAAATGTGGTATAATATAATAGAGGGCGCTAATAGATAAATTTGTTTGTAATGTCTTGTAACATAAAATAATACGTGAAATATATTGTAAAAGTGTGGATGTATTCTCTTGAGAATATGTTAATGGTAATATACCACGTGTTATTAACCTGTAAAACGTTCATTATTGCTGCAACATTTTATTGTAGAACATACACATTTTTTAAAGGTTGTAATTATAAAAGTTTTTTGAACAATTGTTAAAAATGAGTATCATGTTATATTTTTTGATGTTAAAAATATATAATGTTATAAAGTAATAATTATAAATATATTGATATAGGATCATCGTATTAATGTGAAATGTATTTGAAGTGTTTTTAAAATGGCTATATTTTTAAACTCTTTTCAACGTTACCAGTTATACACCGGAGGTTTTTTAAAAAAACAGAACCTTAGGTAACGTATAAGTCTAACAATTTTTTAATAGTTTTATGTCAGTAAATATAATCTACTCGCGAATAATTTGTCATCTCACTAATTGTATATAACCTTTTTGTTTTTAAGTAATTGTATATAAAATTTTTAAAATAATTTGTAGATTTGAACTGAAGAGGGACTTAAAATACAAATAAGTCCGAAATGCATTTGACAAACCAATAAAAGAAGTACCTAACCTGAAAGCTGTATATGATAGTCTACCGAACTGAATTGATCGAATTAAAGAGACACATTCACAACACACAATTTTGTGTTGTCTTTTTTTTTACGAAAGATAAACGATGTAACGTCAGAATAAAAATTATGCGTGAGTTTAAACGTAAAAGTGTAAGCGAAAAAATTGATTCAAAACGTTTGTACAGTGTATATTTAGGTTTTTGCACAGTTGTTTTCTTTTCACTGTTACTAATTTCTAAATTAGCAACTTGAGCTTAATCGAAAAATTGAAATTATTTAATTTGAAAGATCGAAATAGTTTAGAAGGAGTAAATGAGTACAAAATAAGGTACAGAATAACAAATAACCTTTATTTACGCATAAATAACCAACATGAGATCCATAATTCTTTACATAAAATTTTTGTATTACATTGTAAAAATAACAACAAAGCTTAAAGCAGACAAAACATTTGTGTAATTACAAGAAAAGCGTATTGCAACAATTCAGATATCGTTTTCGGTGATTACCAGATTTTACCAAGACCGTGAGCACCAGCAGCGAGACCATGAGCTGCGGCAAAAGCTGGACCAGCAGCCAGACCGTGAGCTGCGGCAAAAGCTGGACCAGCAGCGAAACCGTGAGCTGCTGCAAAAGCTGGACCAGCAGCAAAGGCGGGTGCTACTGCGACAGCGGGAGCTGCGGCGATTGCTGGAGCTGCAGCAATAGCTGGGACGGCAGCTGCGGCGAGGGCAGGAGCTGCGGCAATAGCGGGTGCGACTGCTGCAACGGGTGCGTGAGCCACGACAGCGGGACTTCCGGAGATGGGTCCGGTGTAGGGAGATGCCACTGCAGCGGCTGCTGGGGCGCTCAAGGCAGTGCCAGGTTCGTTAGTCTTGACCACGGCACGGAATCCGGCACCATCGGCGACGTATTCGACTCTTCTGGCACGTCCGTCGATGTCTGCCAAGTTGTAAGAACCTCTCTTGTTGCCCCAGGCATCACCTACTTCGGCACGTCCGTTGGTGGCACCCGCTCCATTCGTAATTTGGTAGTTGAAGGCGTAGTTTCCGAAATCCTAAATTGAAAACTCAAGTAAATTCAAGAACAGGCTTATGGTGTTAAAAATATGAATTTAACTCACATCTTGTCTTCTGGAACTGACGCTGGTGCCTCCGAGAGCAGGACCAATAATTCCCGCTGATGCGACTGCTAAAAGAACGGCGAAGCAAGCGATCTGAAAGGAGAAAGTAGCAAAGATTGAATATTCTGCCAACTTCGTCTATCCAGCTGGTGTTGTTTGCTAGTAACTTACTTTGAACATGATGCTTGATGAAAGTGATAGCAATGCGATGATTTCTCTCCCCTTTTATACTGGTCTGTTACATCTGATGTAATAAACATGCGTAAGACACGTGTTGTTGGCCTTCTTAAATCTGATGGGTCCTTGAGTGATCGACGAGATTGAAGAAGGTCGTCTTGTAGCCCGACAGGGTGGGGTCGCGTCTACCTTCCTTATCGCTAAGAATAGCACAAAATTCGTATCGCACACGCACACCTTCGGAATAATTATTACCGTTAAACATGATATCTACAGATATTTGCTCACGAAAATATTTTCACGTCTTCAGATTCATGTTAATGACATAGAAAAATAAAAATTGACACACTTTACAATTTAGAATGAATTGCTATAATGGTTTCTTTGTTGTTAAGTATAATTATGCTTAAAATTCTGGTTTTTATAATAAATAAACTCGTTAGACATTTAAAAGTGGAATTTTTGGCTATTGAATATTTTAAATCTAAGTGTTCTAATTAACAAATACAAATACATTAATTAATTCGTTAATTTTTAAACTGTGATGTACTGTACTGTGCAGTACTTATACATCGAGAGTGCTGTCTACTTTTTATGTGTGAGATATCTGCAAGACATTTCTGAGAGATTAATTATTATCATTATTTAATTGAGAATTGTATTTTTTCTGTTGTAAATATATAACCTAGTCCTAAATATATTTATGTTAATGAATAGGCACAGATAAATATTCTTTTTTAATCGTTGAATCTATACCTAAACCTAGGCTAAAATACGCGTGAAAAAATGAGATGGCCCTATCTCCTTAAATAAAATTTCAAGAGGTTAAAAACCACTGCATGAATTTATAATTTTGGATCGAGTTTTTTCTCATTCAACAATTTTGTGAGGAAGAAAAGGAGATCCATATCCAATAAATTTTTCAAGAAATCCAATTGTTCGAAGATGCAGTTTATGAAATCATAAACCCAAGCTTTGAAGGTCACCTAGAACAATAAACGAGCATTAATTTTACTTAAGAATTATTGTCAGGAATGACTTTATTTACTTAATAAGGAGAGCACCACGCATATGCAACATTCGAAATTAAAATTTGTTAGTCGGGTGCACTTTAGTAGAACTACTTTAACATAACGTTTAATTAGCATTCTATCCAAAATATTAAATTTCATTTATATAATTGCAGATTTAATTTAACTGGAAAATTGATTACGAGTTTCTTACTTAGTCATATGAGATTATCATCAACATTTAAATTGTTGTTAAGTAGCCATTCCAGAGAATAAATGTGTGGTTTGCAAACTCCGTATCCGAGACGGAATTACTGATTCAAACAATTTAATTTTTAGAGGAACCATAATATTATCAACTGTTTTCTAACCATAAACTCGAATTAGGAGGTTGTTTAAGCTTCTTTTAATTTTATTAAACATAGCTTAATTAAAAATATGATGGTATGGAGTCTACTTTGCAGATACAGAGATAAGTTTTATTTAGAATTTAGCTCCTAAATTAAAAGAAAAAATAGAAAATTTTTATCCAGAGATAATTAGAAATATCGAATAATTTTATAAATCCATAAATTAATTATTGTGAAGCTGTTTTTCAATATCAAATGATGTTTTAACGCGAAATGAATCTAGATAGTAAAAACAAATGAGAAAAGGTCAAACTATTGTGGACTATGCGGAATAAATTGCTAATTTATTTAAAGCAACCTTGATATGTGACAGGAGTAGATAAATCTAGTAAACAAGTTTTTGTGGATATAGGTGGTCCACGTCCAAATAAGGAAGATAAATGGTAGAAAAATTTTAATCATTCAAAGCCGAAAAATTGATTGTTTGAATGATTAAAAATACAGTTTGCTCCTCCTACTCTTATAATCATCAGATGACTGATTGGCTATAATACAAGACTACGTTCGCTATACAATAATAACAAAGCATTATTGCAAAATTGTTTCTTCTAAATCTTTTAGAGAACCACTTACATTAAAAAAAAGCCTAACATTTTTCCGTTATCAGTATTGTTGTAATGCTTCCAACTTTACTAGTAATTATATCAATGGATTTAATAGTGTTAATTATATGTTTTGCTTGTTTTCAGTCATGATGGTAATCAAGACCGGTTGATAGACTAATGAAAACAATAGGATATATTAAAACATAAGTAATTTAAAGAATATAGAATGTGCTGCTGAAAATAACAATAGATTTAATTTCAAATATAACGGAAAAATCTTGGAAGTTGTAGATAAATTCCATTATCTGGGAAGTTCGGTAACAAAAAATTGGGACTCGACCTTGAAAGTAAAGTACAGAATTGGTAAGACAACTTTTACACTGGTTCGAAAAGTAATTACAAATAACGGTGTAGCCAGAAGACCGGAAGAAAAACTTGATTTCGATGTGAATTCTAGACTCTGAACAAAAGCGAAATGTACTCATGAAAATGATTCACTCATTTAGTATATGGTGTTAAAGAAGGGTGGAGGAAAAAGTTATGTAGACGAAGTAATAAAAAATTGGAAAAAAAGTGGGAAATCTTACAGCAAGTAATGAGAATTAGGAAAATGAGAAAAGGAAAATTAGCTTCACAAGACATATATTAAGAGGATGACTGAACGATATAACTGAACGATATAAGCTCTAATTTCCCATTAATAGCCTCTTTAAATCGACTGTCCAAGAATGAATTGTTCAACAGCATAAATCAATAGACAAATGGAGTTTGCTCCAGATAAAGAGAAATGGGTAAGAAAGCCTCAACATGTGCAACAAGTATAGAAGATGCCACGGGAAGAGAGAGAGAAATACGTGTAACTTATACAGTTAATGATACAACGTATGTTCGTTCTAATTTTTGTAATTTTAGTTTATATTTAGATCTTTCTTGTTTTAAAAAAATTATTTGTTTATATTTTAACTGATTTTATTAATAAAGTTTATTAATAATCGTCAAATCGTTCATTGCTTTACTATCTGTAGTAGAGATTTGCTTAATATCTGATTAATTAATTAATTAGCAACATAATAGCTCGATAAGAATGAAGTTCTAACCTCTGATTAGTAATATTTATCTGGTTTTTTGTATATCTAATTATACATTGCTTTATCTTTTGTTAACACGTACACGTGTTAACAAAACGTATTGACGTATTGACGAATACTGTTACTTCTTTATAGGCCTAACATATCTTTATATCAAATAATTCGCGAACAGTTCACATCACTAATCAAGATATTCATGAAACAATAATTTTTTTTTTCCAATTTTTCTTTCTTAAAAATTTAGAAAGGTTCCAGTTTTCGAATAGTATTTTTCAATCTTGCTTTTTTTCAATTACATAAATAATAGAACAAGAACGTAAAAAGTGTGATCTTTAAATTTCTTTCTAGCTTTTCCTCTTGTAAAAACTTTAATGAGCTTTAATCCTTAATTACATATTTCAATATGAATAGAATTTGTGTTCTTACCAATTTTATAACATGATATAATTTTACTTTAAAATATTTTAATAATTTTTAATTATTTTATTAAAACACAAGTGAAACTTTAATTTCATGTAAAGATCATAACAATTGAATACTTAATTTTTAAAATTATGAAGAGGAAGTGCAAAAGAAAGCATTCAAAAATATTTTTTAGGATGTATGAAAAGGATTTTTATCATTTCTGACAAATAGAATCCCCTAAAATCCCTTTACATTTTTTGTGTATTAAATTTCATAAATTAGCAAATTAATTATCTATTGTCAGAGCCGTATTTAAATTTATGTGGCCCTAATATATAAGAAGCCGTACCAATAATAAATTTAAAAGCGCGAAGCTTTAAGTTGTAGTACTGTAGTCTGGTAATGTGGGGTCCCCGTAGCTTGGTTATCTCGCGTTAATCCTAACTTATTGTAAGTTAGTAAAACAGAAAATTATAAAGAAAGGGTAGAAAGGGAGTGATGATAGGAAAACGACACGAAGAACTGTCATCGATAACAAAGGAACAAGTAGAAGGACAGGGATGCTTATTAAGATTAAATGATCGTCACTTCATCGAGGGATCTATACTAAATCAATTTTAAATATTTTGAAACAAAAGACACGAAAAATATTATAATGAGACACTTTTTATTTTTCTTCACATTTCTCGTCCGTGCTGTACATAATGCGGTCTAGTTATTTACATAAATGGAAATCCAAACCGTAGAGATCAGTCACGCATAACATAAATATAAATGACAAAAAAAGAAACCAAGTTAAAGCTAAGCGATACACAATCGGTCAGATGCGATTAAGACTTTGGTCCGTTTAATGGAAGAGTCCTTTATTTCCTAATCCGAAGTGTCCGGCCACTGCGGGTGCGCCCAAAACTCCATAATGGGCCGCCGCTCCGTAATGAGCCGCCGCTCCATAGGGAGCTCCGAGGTATCCTGCGGCGAAAGGTGCACCCACCACACCCTTGGCTACCACGCCGGCGGCAAAGGCGGGGGCCACCCCAACGGCGGCTGGGGCGATAGCTGCAACTGGAGCAGCTGCGACGGCTGCAACTGGAGCTGCTGCGACTGCCGCAACGGGTGCGTGAGCCACGACAGCGGGACTTCCGGAGACGGGTCCGGTGTAGGGAGATGCCACTGCAGCGGCTGCTGGGGCGCTTAAGGCGGTGCCAGGTTCGTTAGTCTTGACCACGGCGCGGAATCCGGCACCATCGGCGACGTATTCGACTCTTCTGGCACGTCCGTCGATGTCTGCCAAGTTGTAAGAACCTCTCTTGTTGCCCCAGGCATCGCCTACTTCGGCACGTCCGTTGGTGGCACCTAATCCATCCACAATTTGGTAGTTGAAGGCATAGTTTCCGAAATCCTAAAAAGAAATTGGATGAATTTTAGACATTTCGCTGCTTCGGACGTGGCTAACAGCGAAGATTTTCGGTTTAACTTACGTCTTGTCTCCTGGAGCTAACGCTGTGTCCTCCGACGCCCGCTCCTACGTATCCTGCGGATGCGACGGCCAAAAGAAAAGCGAAACAAACGATCTGAAACGAACAAATAAAAAATTTAACCGTGGTCCCGTATTCCCAAGTGATGTTTGCTTATGGAACTCTACCTACTTGGATCATGTTGAGATCTGATGGAAAGGGAAGGCGTCGCTGGCCTTTATATACCGGTCAGAGAGAACTATGATGCAATAATCATCAGTCGGCCATCCGAAGGTGCAGCATGTTGTTGGCCTTCTTGCGGAGGCGAGCCCGAAGTGATCGACGGGTCTCGGAAGGTCGACTTGTTTCCGTTCGAAGGGTGGGGCCATACTTCACCGTGGCGCGGCCGCTTACCGGGAATCGCCCGAAAACAAAGACTTAACGGAACGCACATCGCACATTTTCCTCCTAATTCGTGATTAATTGCCAAAAGAGTATTTTTAAAATGATTCCATTATTCGGCACGCGAATAAAATTTAACACAAGTTTTTATAAAGTAGTCTATTCGAAATACAGGTTTTACGGCCATTTTCAAAATATTTCAATAAATTTACGTTTATATCTATTAGCGTTAGATTGTTTTTATACAATTAAGTTTCATATCTAAAAATTAACATATGAATTTACTACACTCTTCGTTAGTAAAGGGGCTGATAATCCGAAGGAGTTAAGAGGTTAATTCATAATTTCGTATCGGTTATCTGTTATCCGAGTAGAAGGATGAGCGTTTTTTGAAAGTGAATTTTTGTTTTACGTTGAGTAAAAGAATGTAAAGAAAAAGAAGTGATACGAAACAAGATAAATAATTCATTGCTCTACTTTACTTTGTTGAAGAGTGCAGTTTCAGTTTTAGAGGTCAACTGTTTTTGCAAGAATTCCTCACGGATATAGACAATTAACTCGTTTTATTCGTTAAAATTTTAAAAGCGAACGGAATTAAAATTACAATAAAATCTTTTATCTTTTATTTCACATTTTTATGGGCTTTTAAATTAAAAGCATTTACTTGAAAACCATTAAGATTCTTGCTGGTTAGGCCCGAAATCTTGTTTAATTCCTATAATAAAAATCTAGAGAATCGATAAAATTTGGAGCGGTACATTACAATATCTAAAATATAAATACGTTAGTTTAATTTTAAACGTGAATTAACGGTGCCTAATAATCTAACAGTGACGCTTTTAGTCATATTTTTCGAATGACTAAAAGCGGGACCTTGACAACTTCCTAAAACCTACTTCCTGATGAAAACTTTATTAATATTCCATGTACAGCTTCTAATTTTCAAACAATATCATTTTAAAGATTTCTAACACTCGGAGCGAAATTTAACAGTAAACAATTCTTTATTATAAAACCACAGCATTGTATTCGTGAGATAGAACAGGGATACTTTCACGCATTGTTTTATCTTATTTGACATGATCTAGAAACCTTTGCCGTTTAACTGGATTAAAATGGAATTTTAAAGACGGTAATCCCGATCTATAATTAGAATTAATGTAGTTCATTATCAAAGATAGAGATATTCGAGGAATTAGTATTGTTCGTTATAGTTTAAAAAAAAATAAATAAACCGAATGCCACCCGACAAATCAAGTATTGCAAGGACGCCCTGTCGAAGGTGTGGTTTACTCTACCTTCAGCTTTGGTATATAGTTAATGGTCATCTGTCCTTGTTCCTTAACCCACATCGTCGATCGTTGATAATGACAATAAATGCTCTAATTTTTATAGAATTTACTTTTGACATTCAAAGCATACGTTAAATATACTTTTTTGTTGTTGCCGTTGTTCATCTTAAGTACGCCTCGAGGTTCCGTTTCAGAAACATTTTCATATTTTTTCTTTCTTACTTTTAAAAACTTCAAGGTTCCCTTCTCTGTTCGCTTTGTTATTTTACGCAAATTAAGGAAAATTTTGATTTATGGGCCTATTGTTTCCTGACGCGTCGAACTTGGCAATTTTTAGAATTCACCCAACTGCACGCAATTGAACTTCTGTGTTTTTTATAAAATTTAAACGGAATAATTAAATGACTTTAATTGCATTTATCTTTCACTTTAAATTATGAGAAACGTCGATTCAGAGCAATGTCATAAAAGTGTATCTCTGATTTAGGGCGTTTCGGGGTGGTGGCACCATTCAAAGTATGAAAGTGACGTGTCCAGCTCGGATTTTTCTTAAAAATCCGAGGAATTCCCCAAACTTTCAGCAAAAAAAAAAATAGCTGTTATTTGTAGGCTAAAATTTTGTATGCATTTTTGTTGAGAAAACAATTCTCGAAAAAATAGATGTCCGTTAAAGATTTGACTGTATTTGTTTAACTTCCGATTAATTAAATGCAGAAACATAATGTGTTATTTCTTTCAAAAAAAAAAAATTGAAAAATCAAAACCGAGGTTATAGTAATTTAGAAATTAAATTTAGAAAACAAAAACTCGCCGTCACGAAAGAGTGCACACAACATTATAAAGTAGTCTAATCAAAATTGCGTAATGTCTAGCAAATTACTTTGCGATTTTTATACGAAGAAATAATGTAAAGTGTAGGAGCATAAAGAACACGATACTAAAAATTGTATAACGTAAATAATAAATATATTAATTAATCACTTTATTCGTCTGAATTTTAACTTTTATCCACGAAATAAATCATACTTATGCGCATAACTGTCGAGAATTATATCTAAAAACCTAAATCAATTCTACTTTTCTTAAGAAAACAGCAAACTTGATAATTGTTAGACACGACATTGTATAAAATACAATAAATATACTTTTAATCAAAGTAAAAGCGTTACGTAATAAGACAAGTTTTCGTTTTCTTTCTTTTTATTAGGAATTTTATTGAATACTCTTTATTGTTATTCGAATTTTTATTTATTTAATATCAATATTTATAGTTATAAAGATAAAAAACCAGTACAAAATCTAATAATAATGCTAAACAAGTTACAATTTAGTGCTTTATGTTACAAGGGCGTCTTAACTCGTGGAAAAAAGGGAGCGAGATTGAGAAAGTGAATTAATTTAAACAAAAGAAATTTAATATTGTTTCATTATATTATAATGGTTTCCGCTTTCGATAAAGTTTACAGCTTTAGTATATCTTAATCCGAAATTTCCAAGATAAGGAACAATTCCTGTAGATGTCTTAATAAAGGACACCAAAAATTCGGAGCTGTATTGTTTCTAAGGCGCAATTATTAACTAGAAAAACTAGCACAACATAATTATAATGGTATTGTCATATAGACTTTTTTCTTTAACACTTTCTTCCCTGTGAGCACTAAGACCTTTCATTTAGAAAGCCTGTTCGGCCGAGCTCACAAACGGGACCGAGTGTTGAGGGAGGGGACGACATATTCGAACGGGCATATTCGAACGTACCGAATCAATATATTTCTTTTAAAGTATTTTAACTAATTTACAAGAACAATTAAATATTCTTAGTTAAGTTCCCTTCAAGTATCTTACTCGAGTAGTTAGGTTCGAGTGATTTAAAAATGCATTTATGTAGATTATTAGAGGCAGAAGCGATTACGTGTTTTTCTCGAAATCCAATAGAAAGAGGAACCGATTGTGATGTCTTCCATCAATCGGCGTGTGAAAAATTATAGTATATTTATAAAAACATCAGTAGATATGCCAGGCAAAAGTAAAAAAAAAAGCAAATGTTAAAATTAAAACCATATTAAAAATTTGGTTATTTAAGCCAACTCCACGCATCGGTGTTATTTCGACGGAACTTCTATTATACTTTTTGTATAGTATAGGAGTCTTATGGATATGGAATGGTAGTTTAAGAGTGTAGAGAATACTATACTCTTTGAAGTCTTCACTAAGAATATAATTTGTAAACTGTGTGGCCCCTTCATTATCACACAGTGCTTATCTACCTAATAATACATTAAATTTAAACTGTCAAAAAGTATCAATGGGACGAAATCAGAAGGATGTCCAGGTTTCGTGATAGCCTATATTTTTCGCAGGGTCTTACAGATTACCTCTGAAACATTTAGTCCGGATTGATCAAAGGGTTTAGAAGAATAAAGTATATAGGCCTATACCAGTGTGTTCCAACCTTTTTTGTGCTATGCCCCACCTAAGCCTTTCTAAAATTCTTATGCCCCCAACATATACAGCGGCTATACGGTTAACTTAAACTCTGAACGAGTCCATTTTCGAATTGCCCCCTGTAGGGCGTGGGCCCCACGTTGGGAAATACTGGTATATACTTTTTATACTCTTGTTTAGAAATGGTACAGTACATACATATGTTACTTTCGATTTTATATGTAGATAATTAAATATCTACATGTAAAATCGAAACATATAAGATCGATGTATATAGGCTATATATATATATATATATGTTATCCTTTAACTAGAATAAAGAAAAAATAAAGATTTTTCAGTTCTGCTGACAAGAAAAACTACTCACTTATTATTGAATTTCGTTATCAGATAGATATTGTGTTACAGAACGAAAATAGTAAAGTTACGTAATCTAACAAATTCAATTTTTAAAATTTTATATTGAAATTAAATTTTTCTTTTAATCTTAAATAACAATTTTGCATAAATGAAATAAATATAAAATGTTTTAATATATATATATATATATAAACCATCTAAAATCACGTCGTCATTAATCTGAAAAGAATGGACTAATAATTTGATTTCCGATGATCAATTTAGTAGCCATCTTTAATATTTTTCTTCCTATTAAAAATAATAATGAATATAAAATAAAAGATTATATTGAAATTTACGATTCAGTGAATCTAACGAGGCGGTAACTCCTGGTGTTTCATGTTTTTCGACTTTTTTCTGGTAGATCATTAGTCAAGTTGATAAAATGTTGGAAGCAACGAACGAAATGTCATTATTCACGGACTTCACTTTTAAAAAACTTTTTAAATGTAACAGTTACGTCTTTTAGAAACTTAAAAATGCAATGTAAATGAACGTCGAAGTTATCATTGAAAAAGAAGATAAACGTGTGATAAATATATTAAATTTTATTTCGATTATCTCTCATAATAACATATTCAAGCAGCCTAAGATTCCTTCGATCAACGTAATTTATAAAAAATAATTTATGCAATTTACAGATTTAGCCTTTGTAGCCAAAAGCAGCTACTGGGGCACCGTATGCACCGTAAGCGCCGTAAGCACCAAAAGGTGCTCCAACGACACCCTTGTATCCGAAAGCGGCTACGGGGGCTGCCACTGCTGCCACGGGGGCGGCGGCAACTGCTACTGGAGCGTGAGCCACGACGGCTGGACTTCCAGAGATGGGTCCGGTGTAGGGGGAGGCAATGGCGGCGGCTGCTGGAGCGCTCAAAGCGGTTCCTGGTTCGTTAGTCTTGACCACGGCGCGGAATCCGGCGGCATCGGCTACGTATTCGACTCTTCTGGCACGTCCGTCGATGTCACCGATGACGTAAGATCCTCTCTTGTTACCCCAGCCGTCACCTACTTCGCTACGTCCGTTGGTGGCACCGACTCCGTTCACAATATTGTAGTTAAAGGCGTAGTTGCCGAAATCCTAGAATGAAGAAAACTTGGAGGTGAGATAAATTGCGATAACTCCTGAAGAATTTCGGAACGATTCCTTTCGGTTGGATCGTCTACTTACATCTTGTCTGCGAGAACTGACACTGTGGCCTCCTACAGCTGCTCCAGGAACGATTCCTGCAGAGACAGCGGCGAAAACAGCGAAAAGAACAGCTACCTGCAACAAAAAATTGCTAAAGATTAACTACTGAAGGTACTTGGCGGGATGGTTAATCCACGTATCAAAGACAACATTGTATGGAATACTTGCCTTGGAAAACATTTTGCTTTGATTTATTGACGAATTGTACTTTTCTCCTAAGACATTTCTTCTTTTATACCGATTTTTCGAACAAAAAAAAAAACCCGAAATATATCTGAAGACCTTGAATGTTAATCCAGCTCCAGAAGGAAAACTGGTTAATTGGCATGTGATAGATATTTGCCGATTTTCTAGGTCGTTACCGCTTTATACTTTATTGTAGCTATTTGAAGCCATACGGGCTTCTAAATTTATATTTATTTCATTTATTTATAAAATCTTTTATTGTAAAAAATGAAAACTTGACTAGAATGAAGGATAAAGGGATTCGGGTTCGCCACTCAAAATAGAGTAGGCTAATGAATAGTTGTAACATGTTATAGGAAAGATACATTGTTTGGGTTTTTCTACGTCGAATCAGTATAAGATTACATTAATCTAAACTTAATTAATTATCTTATTTAATTTAATTTTAATGAAAATATTCATAAAAAGCATTAATTATATTTTAATTAAAATTTTTAATAAATATAAATCATAATTAATTAAAATAGAATTTAATGGAGAAATTAATAAACGAATTCGAATGTGAATAATATATTTTTTTTAATTATTCTTCTGTTATTTAACTTTATTTTTATTGAATTTTTTACTAAAAATTTCAAGAAATTAAATAAATCTATTCTTTAAATATAAATAAAAATGTATTTATTTTTTTCATTTCGTGGTATAAACATAAAAATTGTAGTATTAAAAAATCTTAATTAGTAAGAGGAAGCGTGTCGCGTTACGCTTGAATGCCGTAGAATTAATAGTGACTACGAGGCACGACGACTTGCCTCGTTACTCTTGAAATTGCTATATGAATCGATGCGACGCGAAGCGACGCGACGACGCGCCGTCGCATTACTTAACTACACATCCTGATGGGTAATGAAAATTACTCATTTAAATGCACAAATTTTGTAATACAAATTTTTTTTACAGATAAAGCGAATTTTTAAATGTATTTTGTATGCAGTTTATAATAGAAAAATATGATGTTTTCCCCGAAGACTAGAAAAGTAGCTTTTCCAAGTGCTAATTTAAACGTTTTGCATAATTTATCTTCACGAACTTATGAAAATTCTTGACGAGTTTCGAATATTTTAAGTGAGAAAAGGGAATATATCAAATAAAAACAAAAAATCGATCACAAAAGAAAGCAATTAAAAAATAGTTTCGTATAGAAAAATGCTATTAATACGAAGCAACATTACCGGTATTTCGACTCGCGAAATAGGTGAAGGATATCCTACGATATTCGCCATTTTCAAACGGATAAATGATAATGACGTCACACTATTGGAGTGTATAAATTCGGATGTATATCAGAAATTTTTATAGTACAACATCTCGAAACAATCATGGTTGCAAAAGTAAGTACTCCTTGCATTGTACTGGCACAACTCGAGTAACTGCAAACGGTTCTCGGAGTGATGCAGTCCGAAAAATTCGGCACCATCGTCGAATACTTTACAAGAGAAATGGCTTAGAGAATTAATTTGCATATTGTTTTTCGACAGATCGCCATCTTTCTTGCTTTGGTAGCTGCCGCTTCCGCCGGTCTCATCGGTGCAGGACACGGAGGAGCCAGCATCAGCTCCAGAAGACAAGATGTGAGTAGGGCCTACTTTCCTCGGCTTGTATTCGGTTTTGCCACTTATCTGTACTTTAACTAACTTCCGTTTCGTCCACAGGACTTCGGTAACTACGCCTTTAACTACCAAATTGCTAACGGAGTCGGTGCCACCAATGGACGTAGCGAAGTAGGTGACGGCTGGGGTAACAAGAGAGGATCTTACGTCATCGGTGACATCGACGGACGTGCCAGAAGAGTCGAATACGTAGCCGATGCCGCCGGATTCCGCGCCGTGGTCAAGACTAACGAACCAGGAACCGCTTTGAGCGCTCCAGCAGCCGCCGCCATTGCCTCCCCCTACACCGGACCCATCTCAGGAAGCCCAGCCGTCGTGGCTCACGCACCAGTGGCAGTTGCCGCCGCCCCCGTGGCAGCAGTGGCAGCCCCCGTAGCCGCTTTCGGATACAAGGGTGTCGTTGGAGCACCCTTTGGTGCCTATGGCGCTTACGGTTTGGGTTACAAAGGTTAATTTGGAAAATCCGTTTTAAGATATTAAATAAAAAATTAGAAATTTATGTAGACTTGTCCACTGTTTTCTTCATTTATAATACTCCATGATTATAATATTCTGCTTAAAACAGATCGCGATTTAACACGAATATACGAGACATAGAAATATATTTTTAAAATATTTGATATTTATTTTGGATCTTTTATAAATTTATCTACTTTCTTGGATTGTTTTTTAAGAAATTAAACTTCAATTTAAGTCAATATTGTAAATATAAATTAAAATTTTTATTTTATTCTGTTTAGAAATGCGTCAGAAGGTCATCGTTTACAGAATTTTCGCTCACTCGAAATAAATTAATCAGCTTTTAATACAGGTTCATAAATTCTTTTACATTTGAAGGATCGATTAATTACTATAAAAAGTTCTATTACGTTTTATTATTAAATTATTAGCAACTATATTAGCTAGAACTTTAATAAAATATAATTCTAAAAATTACGTTTTGATAAATTCTACTTATGTATTATTTTAAACATTTTAAAAATAATTTATCTTTTTAAAACATGTAGGTCTACATTAAAAATTTTTTTCCGCGTAATATTTTCACTTTTCGCTAATCAGTATACTTTTATATTGGATTATTGTAAAAATGTACTACTGAAATATACTTTACTAGAAGTGTTGTACAATTTTAAGTAAATATTTTGTGTTTCTACAACGCTATTGTTTCTAAGAGCTTAACTGTTTGGTTATTAGGCACTCAAAATGCAAGTAATTTATCTAGTTGTCCTATATCCAAATATTGTTAAATGAAAATTTTAAATTATCACATTAAAAAGCACCATGTAAAGAATGTAAATCTGTAAGTGATCTAACGAAGTTATTTCTGAACACTAGTTTCGAATGAGTGCAAGAAGAAATAAATGGGCATCTTTATTCTTTGTACAGTAGTTTCAACTAATAAAGAATAAAGATGCCCATTTCTCCCTCCTTTTCATTGGGGTTTCGTCTCTCAGTCATCATTATAAAATTCTAGTTGATTTCGTTTCGTATCCTGTTCTCCAAAACATATACAATATAATATATTTAGAATATAATAAACACGAACATAAATATCTATCAATATGCCCATAAGTTATTTTATTCCTAACATTCTCTGAGCGGAAAGTCTTATCTTGAGTGATAGAAATTTGCTAATATTTTACTACTATAACAAAATTTAAGTTTTATTTCAGTTTAAAAAATGTAAACCAAATTCTTTATTTTTCATACTTTATTCGATTGAATCAAAAATAAAAAAATGGTCATTCCTTGTGTTTGAGTGTATTTTGGTGAAGTACTATTTTTAATTTTTGCCGATAAGATAATGAAATATCTACTTTAGATCTTCTATTTCTAAATTAATAGAATTCTTAGAAACAAATATTTATATATAACGTTGAGGATAGGTATTAAACCTCGAAACATAAGATAAAACTGTTTTGAGCTCCTTAATAAGGATCTGTGTTGGTGTCAATAACGTTAATAGAGAACTACTCTCTCCTTACGTCTATTGAAAATAGCTCAAATGTTAAAAATTTCCCCCAAAGAATATATTCTTCGTAGGAAAAAACATTCTTAATGTTAATGCAAAAAACTGAAAATAAAATCTATGCTGTTAAATTGTGAAAAAACTGCAGTGAAGATCATACTTCCTTAGTAATATCTATTACGGAATAAACAGATTAGTTAGAAAAAGGCCTCTGAAAGGTCGAGGCCCCAGAAAATTTGGCAAAATATAATGTGTTTTTTTAATAAACTAAAGAAATAAAATAAAGAAATGCGAGAAATTAAATAAATCATAATAAGAATGTTTTCGAAACTAGTAAATATGAATCCCGGCAAAATAGATCCCGTTAATTAGTCAGGAAATATTTATATATTTAAATTAACATCTTTAAACTAATAATAGAATATAATGGAGTTTTTTAGAACGCATAATAACAATAAACGTACGAGGATAATAAATCTGTCTAATGTAAAATAATATACAAAACGAATTTTGCAGGAAAAAAAATTTAAAAATCTTCCAACCATGGCCGCTCTCTCCCATATTAATTACTTTGTGATAATTGTCTTACATAAGCCCATTATTAATGAAGGAGAAAAGGTAATGCTTTTCGATCGAACTATCAAGGTCGAACGATCGATATCCGAAGCAGATAGATTATCGTAGGAATCGAGATGGGCTGCATTAATAATTGCGATCCTAAACAGTCCAAAAAGTGCTTCAGATGTAGTTTTGTCGCCATTTATACTCTTCTAGCCGTGGTTTATCAAGTTCCCATACCTATCAGTTACAAGTTATTTGGAGGTCTCGATATCGTTATCAGAAAAGTGCATTTAGTCGTCTGTCTTTGCAATATACTTTCGAATTGGATTTTCTTTATTTTGGACGTTATTTCTTTCATCGTAGCAATTCCGATGTTGTTCGAGGCCATGAAAATTGTGCCTTTGATTAAAGTATTATCTGACGACATCCTACATTTGCAAAAGGAAATACTCGGCCAAAATCCATACTTCAAATTGATTATCGTAACTTGTTTCACCGTCCGTTTCGCCGCTGGAAAATCCGTATTTTTTATAAAAAGTTTCAGTAAGAAAATGTGGAAAGACATCGATCAAAGTTGGATGAAAATGATGAATTTGCTCTCGGATGCCGAGAGAGAAGAACTACACGTTTACATTCGTAAATTATTTTGGAAAATATACGTAATTATGATCTTTTCTATATTCCTCACTCTGTACATTTTCTTGAAGCTGACCGGTCTCAACCACCAAATTGCAATTTTGTTTCCCGAGAATGCTATGTTGGTAATTTTAGGAGTTATCACTTTGTTCTTCTTCGTATCGATTACCTGGATCTGTTCGATCCTCTATCTATACTGCGTAAGTCGAGTGATTTCACGCTTATTCGACAAGATTAATGCCAGTATAGAATCCATGATGAATAACGAAATCACCATGGATGCACTCTATCTAATCCACGATAAGCATCAGATGTTAAGCGAACTGGTCTTAAATGTAGATCGAATCTTTAACATCTACATTTTCGTAGTATACTTCACTAGCATACCGGAATGTTGTATTGCATTATATTGTTACTTGTTCCCGTCAGAAGATACTTCTCCAGATCTGCTACTTCTCTGCATAACATTCGCCCTGTTAGCCTTCTTGTCTGTGGCCCTGAGTGCTGCGGAAGTGGCCAATTCTGTAAGTGATCATTTTAACGTCTTAAAATTCGTAAATCTAAATAAATTCATGCTAATTTTTTAACATAGGCACACTCTACGTATGATTATCTGTGCGATCTTTTCATTAACGAAACTACTTCTGAGCAACAATCAAAGGTAAAAAAAAAGCCTTATAGATTAATAATTTAAATTTTAAAAAATTACATTTTAAAAGTTATTGTCTTCTATACCTTCGTTTAGATTCTTTTATTATTAGAACGTCTTTCCGGCCCAAAAATTGGTTTATCTTGTCTGGAATTATTTGTTGTAACCAGATCTAGCATCGTAAATGTAAGATGACAGTTTAATTCGTAAAAATTTTATTACGCGAATGGTTGCGTGATAGGGTGAAAGTTTACGCGCTTATTCACGTGACTTTTACTTTCATCGATGGAAAAAATTAATTCGAATTTTGTTTCAGGTTATCGGAATGACGGCGACTTATTTTCTGACGATTATTCAGTTCAGGGGTGTCAGCCAGAGCGTTACGGGACACCGTTAAGCGCCATCTGTCGAGAGAAATGATCATCAAATATTATTATTATCGATTTATAATAATGCACTTTCGTGTATTTGAGAATTGGCACGATTGAAAATATTTATTCACAAATTATATTTTGGGTATTTTTAAGGAAAAAATTCAAAATTTTGTCTGATATTTCTATATTTCTGTGCTATTAAAGTGACAAGAAACCTCTAAAATTTTTTATTAGATAAAGTAAATATAATAACCTACAATATAAATAACAGCATAATTATTTTTATGATTCTCAAACACAAGACCGAATAAAGGTAAGAAAAACTCCAAGTGTTTAAATAGTAACACGGTCTTGTGTTTGAGAATCATAGANATATAAGATCGATGTATATAGGCTATATATATATATATATATGTTATCCTTTAACTAGAATAAAGAAAAAATAAAGATTTTTCAGTTCTGCTGACAAGAAAAACTACTCACTTATTATTGAATTTCGTTATCAGATAGATATTGTGTTACAGAACGAAAATAGTAAAGTTACGTAATCTAACAAATTCAATTTTTAAAATTTTATATTGAAATTAAATTTTTCTTTTAATCTTAAATAACAATTTTGCATAAATGAAATAAATATAAAATGTTTTAATATATATATATATATATAAACCATCTAAAATCACGTCGTCATTAATCTGAAAAGAATGGACTAATAATTTGATTTTCGATGATCAATTTAGTAGCCATCTTTAATATTTTTCTTCCTATTAAAAATAATAATGAATATAAAATAAAAGATTATATTGAAATTTACGATTCAGTGAATCTAACGAGGCGGTAACTCCTGGTGTTTCATGTTTTTCGACTTTTTTCTGGTAGATCATTAGTCAAGTTGATAAAATGTTGGAAGCAACGAACGAAATGTCATTATTCACGGACTTCACTTTTAAAAAACTTTTTAAATGTAACAGTTACGTCTTTTAGAAACTTAAAAATGCAATGTAAATGAACGTCGAAGTTATCATTGAAAAAGAAGATAAACGTGTGATAAATATATTAAATTTTATTTCGATTATCTCTCATAATAACATATTCAAGCAGCCTAAGATTCCTTCGATCAACGTAATTTATAAAAAATAATTTATGCAATTTACAGATTTAGCCTTTGTAGCCAAAAGCAGCTACTGGGGCACCGTATGCACCGTAAGCGCCGTAAGCACCAAAAGGTGCTCCAACGACACCCTTGTATCCGAAAGCGGCTACGGGGGCTGCCACTGCTGCCACGGGGGCGGCGGCAACTGCTACTGGAGCATGAGCCACGACGGCACCTAAATCAATTCTACTTTTCTTAAGAAAACAGCAACGGTTCCTGGTTCGTTAGTCTTGACCACGGCGCGGAATCCGGCGGCATCGGCTACGTATTCGACTCTTCTGGCACGTCCGTCGATGTCACCGATGACGTAAGATCCTCTCTTGTTACCCCAGCCGTCACCTACTTCGCTACGTCCGTTGGTGGCACCGACTCCGTTCACAATATTGTAGTTAAAGGCGTAGTTGCCGAAATCCTAGAATGAAGAAAACTTGGAGGTGAGATAAATTGCGATAACTCCTGAAGAATTTCGGAACGATTCCTTTCGGTTGGATCGTCTACTTACATCTTGTCTGCGAGAACTGACACTGTGGCCTCCTACAGCTGCTCCAGGAACGATTCCTGCAGAGACAGCGGCGAAAACAGCGAAAAGAACAGCTACCTGCAACAAAAAATTGCTAAAGATTAACTACTGAAGGTACTTGGCGGGATGGTTAATCCACGTATCAAAGACAACATTGTATGGAATACTTGCCTTGGAAAACATTTTGCTTTGATTTATTGACGAATTGTACTTTTCTCCTAAGACATTTCTTCTTTTATACCGATTTTTCGAACAAAAAAAAAAACCCGAAATATATCTGAAGACCTTGAATGTTAATCCAGCTCCAGAAGGAAAACTGGTTAATTGGCATGTGATAGATATTTGCCGATTTTCTAGGTCGTTACCGCTTTATACTTTATTGTAGCTATTTGAAGCCATACGGGCTTCTAAATTTATATTTATTTCATTTATTTATAAAATCTTTTATTGTAAAAAATGAAAACTTGACTAGAATGAAGGATAAAGGGATTCGGGTTCGCCACTCAAAATAGAGTAGGCTAATGAATAGTTGTAACATGTTATAGGAAAGATACATTGTTTGGGTTTTTCTACGTCGAATCAGTATAAGATTACATTAATCTAAACTTAATTAATTATCTTATTTAATTTAATTTTAATGAAAATATTCATAAAAAGCATTAATTATATTTTAATTAAAATTTTTAATAAATATAAATCATAATTAATTAAAATAGAATTTAATGGAGAAATTAATAAACGAATTCGAATGTGAATAATATATTTTTTTTAATTATTCTTCTGTTATTTAACTTTATTTTTATTGAATTTTTTACTAAAAATTTCAAGAAATTAAATAAATCTATTCTTTAAATATAAATAAAAATGTATTTATTTTTTTCATTTCGTGGTATAAACATAAAAATTGTAGTATTAAAAAATCTTAATTAGTAAGAGGAAGCGTGTCGCGTTACGCTTGAATGCCGTAGAATTAATAGTGACTACGAGGCACGACGACTTGCCTCGTTACTCTTGAAATTGCTATATGAATCGATGCGACGCGAAGCAACGCGACGACGCGCCGTCGCATTACTTAACTACACATCCTGATGGGTAATGAAAATTACTCATTTAAATGCACAAATTTTGTAATACAAATTTTTTTTACAGATAAAGCGAATTTTTAAATGTATTTTGTATGCAGTTTATAATAGAAAAATATGATGTTTTCCCCGAAGACTAGAAAAGTAGCTTTTCCAAGTGCTAATTTAAACGTTTTGCATAANATTTTTTTTTAATTTTATTTAATTCTTCAATTTTAGTAACTTATTCAATTCAAATATTTGTTGATATGATAAGGAACTAATCATGTTTAATGCAACAACATGAAATTGAATTTGCTAACTTATTAATTAAAAAAATTAACTAGAATAATTTGAATTCTGTTTCCGAAATTAATTTTAAATTGTTCAAAAAAAATATTTTTAAAATAACAATAATTATGAAATTAATAGCTAACTTTAATTGTTACTTTTAAGTTAATTCAAAAATAAAATATATTAATTAATCTTTACACATGTTACGTATTCTGCGATATAAGTGAGATACAGTGCGATGGTAAAATTCCTTTCTGCAGTGGGTGGCTCGGCCGAGTGATTACGTCATCTTACTTTAACTCTTTCGACGCGCGATCTGCCTGTGACGTCATTACTTCGTTCTTAAAAGCTCCTCCTGTTTCTCCGCCCACTGCGGACGAACTTTATGATCGCACGTTATAAAACATCAAAATTGACAGAGATGATTGGTTAGAAATAAGTTTCAATTAACGAATAAGATAATAGAAGTAGGCATACTTATAAATATTATTTCAATAACCAATCATCGTTAAATTAATCTGTATCAAACGAATCATCGTTTAGTGTCACTAAAAACTTTTAAGATGTAATATCTTGAGAATATAATGGAGAACGTTGCATGTTTATAATTACTTTTTTCTATATAATTTTTAAAATTTTAAAGATTTCTGCGTGCATTAAAGTTTCCTTCTTATATAATTTCTTAGAAATAAATAAAAAATCTAAAATTTAATTAATTTATTATGTTTAATTAATTATTTGTTTATCATTTAGTTTATAAATGTACTGTACAGTACAGTACAGTACGAGACATTTTTCAATAATTCTGAGATTTCGTCTTTACGGTGCAACTTCTTATCGATTATATGAAGCTATGATGCAAGTATCGATTCGAAAAATCTTTTATTTGATAAATTATCTTCTAATTATGATATATTAAATGAAAATAAAGAAATTAAGCCACTCTAAAGTAATAAGTAAAGGTCTGTATTTGCTATCAAATAACTTAACTGTATAACGTAGAAAGAGGTTGAAATGTCAGTTAAACAATATATATATATATATAAAATGTAAATGATCTTGGTTAACCGACTTTTGGGCCACAATTCATTTTAAAAAACATGGAATTAAGCAAAGATGAAATTCTAATTAATAATAACAAATTCAACGATCACTAATTACAGAAATAATAGAAAAATATAGAAAATTTTTAGATTTTTACGCTTGAAATATTTTTCGTGGGTTTCAAACCTCTATTCAGTATGATTGAATGTAAAGATTGTCCTCTTGAGGCTCGTGATTCAAAGAAATCGCGAGAAACTTTCAAGGAGAGTTGAGAAAATCTGAAAAGTATGTAGCAGAAAATATGTTTTTCTTGCTGTGAATTGAGTAGTGACTTTTATAAGGCAGAAGTAAAAATCAATCACAGGAAAATTATACCAAAGTGTATTTAAAAAAAACATCTTTGTTTTATTGATCCAGATGGAATCCTAAATGACGCTTCAGATGAGCAAATAATATGTACAGTACAGTAAAACCTGCATAAAACGAAATTGCACCGGTTCTGCTTTAGGCAGGTTTCCGTTTTAAACAGGTTTTACTGTATATACTGTATTATAAGAACTGAAATATAAGGTTAAAAAAATCACCTAATTAATGAAATAAATTTCCCTATATTGACAGACAGGCAGACCGACTAAATAAAACACTTTTCAAAGAAAACAAATAAAGAAATTCAATAAAATCCCTAAAACCTTTGAATGACTAAAAATTATACAAAAATTAACTTATTTTAAAGTTTGTTAATTGTAAAAATCTGCCCTTTTTCTTAATGCAACGATATTAATGAAGCGATAATATAGCTTAAAACTCCACAAATCCGTGACGATCGTAGATAAACAATAATAGTCACTTGACAGAGCTCGTTAATACGTTATATTCCCCGTTCATCTCCTAAAATGTTTCATTAATACGAACAAACTAATTGTAATATTCGCAATCCACAAAATGAAACGTTTATAAATGCTCGCATGATAATACGATACGGATGCATTCTATATTATAGTAAATATTAAGGCTGATACGGAATATAGAATCGATTTTCGTGAAGATATAATTAGTGAAGTCAAACATAAATAGTATAAATGAGGTCAAAGTTCATTCTAATTTGTTATGCCTCTCGTTTCTGGTGGTTTTTCTGAAAGCAGTGGGCTTCAAAAAAGAATTTATAAATTACAGAGAAAATCTCATAATTTTTTTTATTGAAATAGATATAGGCCTATCCTTATTTTAGATTCCTAAGATAAATCATATGAATTAGATTCTTTAGCTGATAATTGTTTCTAAATCTATCTCCATCAGTTATTAAACAAGCTTAAAACCTGTTTAAATAGCTTAAAATAAACCATTTTTTTCTTGCTATTTTCTTCCTCTGCAGCAGCTGTACTGAAAGATTTTAAAGCAAAATATGTTTCACTCGATCATTTAACTTTAATGTCATGAAAATAAATCGAGATGCTTACTTATTTCTATTAATTTTATCAATTTTAAACTTTCCAAATAGCACGTATTTATTAATTTAAAAGTTATATATATGCAACCTTCGAATTCCACGGAAAGAATATTCTTACGCTCATTTGAATTTAATTAATTTTCAATTGATCCTGACCATCTGTTTATACACAGTGATGTGTTAACTCGATTCTACACGCATAAAGAACGTAGAATCGAGTTTACACAGTACAATCGAGTGTGCAACCGAATATAGAATCGAGTTAATAAATCATAAAATATGGACATTTTTGAAAGAATTAATAAACTGCAATTCAAAGTTATTGATACTTTAAAAAATTAATGAAAGGTGATAACATTCTTTTAATAATTTCGTTGATAATTATTAGTAATAACGGAAACAAAAGAATAGAGACTATAAAATGCTATATACTATACTTTTATGATGTATTACATCCTGAAAGTTATTGCTCTAAAAACAATAGAAATATTTTTTAAAGAATAGAGAACCACTTAGACTAAGTTCACTCAACGAAATTAGATGATGCAATATTCGATCACCTTGAAAAAACATAAACACATTTTTTATCGTAAACTAAAGCAGAATTTTAACTAAAAAAAAACTAATTTAGAAAAATTTCTGAACTACTTTTAATTTAATATTTTTCGTTCTATTATTTCCTTGTAAATAATTCTCATCACATCCGAGGATTTTGAATTTTCAACTTTTATGCAATTAAATTAATTTATTATATTTAAAATAATTTAGGCATAAATACTATGCAATCGATTTTTTAAACATCATTCTTGAATAGTTTATTTATTTTTTATTAACATAAAAGGAAAAAATATGAAAAATCTAATTTATTTTATGTAGTATGTTTGCTTCCTTCTATAAATCTTTATATAATTATTGAATAAAAACTAATTATTTTCTTTATTTCAATATATTTTTTATATAAAATTAACATTTTGATGCAAAATATAAATTAAATTTGCTAGAAATGAGCATTTTTGTGTGTAGAAACATTAACATTCGCGAAGAGTAATTTCGTTACTTTACACTCGTTTTACAGTAATATGACTAATGGGTCTCGGGTATAGAAGAAAAACAAAAACGGGATAATCACGATCTATAAAAGCTATGTGTTATATTGTTTCCATCTTTGTCCGAAAATTATTCGTAATTATTTAAATTTTGCGGACAGACTAGGTCATTCCCTTATCAGATTCAAAGCGATAAACGAAAGAAAATAGTTCAACCTCCATAAAGGAACCAGACGACCTTCTACGGACTCGTCGATCACCAACAATTTACAAGGACAATTGCACCAAATA